TACTGATTTAATGGACTGTTTTCATTACTGTAAGGACATTCATTTTTAACCTCTTTACGCATTATGTTATTCACTGGGCTTTAGCTCACTGCTCATATATATATGTAGGTGTTCAGGCACCAGACCGCGGCTAGGAGCGTCAGGATTACTCCAGTTTTGTCAAGCTAGCCTATGTGCCTCACTGCGAGGTTCCGAGCCTATCTTGTTAAGGCTTAGGGGTGTTTTACAATTCCCCCTTCTGTACTGTCTTACTGTCTTGTATAGACTGAATGCTTACTGTACTGCTATGTAAAGGGTTGAGTCCCTAGTCTAAATGATCGTACATTTTGTGCATACTGTTCTGTACTGATTATGTATATATGTATGAAAAGTTTTTTTGCATACAGACTATCACAGCTTATTGGGCATTGTTTATTTACTGTATTGGCTTCCGTCAGGCCCTGTACTCTGTTTTACTGTTCTACTGTTCTGCAGGCCTTCTTTCAATTCGTTTAGCCATTTGTTTTTCTTTTTGTTTTGTTTTGTTTTTGGTTGAAAAGTGTATACATTCATACTCATATCTTGCATCTCTATAACACATATCTCTGATGGAAAAACATGAGTTGAGGTCGATTACTTTGATTCGTTTTATGACACATATCTCTGGTCAATGTTTTTATGAAGATGGCTCCATACATTTAAACTTGATAATTTTGTTAAACGTGTTGTTTCTCTTGCTTTGTATGGGTCCACTGTTTAGTCTATGGCCATTCGTTGTGCCTCAGATTAGTGATTAACCTTTATGCTCAAGTTCTCCTTCAAATGTTGACTCTAATTCCCATTTTCATTGTCTTGATGTAGCATATTTGTGCCTCATTAAGGGAATTGAGATGTCTCTGGTATTGTTTAGACTAAGATGATGGCATGAGGCGTTTGGATCTGATCCGGACCTGAATTGTGAACCCTGTACTCGACACCCTCAACTTAAATCTTTAGGTATGAAATTTTGTGACCTGAAATTGCTTCCGAAGATTACTATAAAATGAAAATTATAATGCCCTGATTGTGGATAAAAAACTTATTAATTTCATATAGTCACTTGTGTGTTTATGTATATTGTTGCTTAGCAGCATATTGTCATCTTCTATTTTATGGTGAATCTCCATCGGTATTTTCTTGCATAGAAGGTATGGATTGCATTGAAAAGAGCCATCTACCAAAGCTTTGTCAAAGGTTGTGATGTTCAAGAACAGTGTTTGTGGTTGCTTTATGAAGTTTGTGACATCTATTAAAGCATTCCATTTATACACCAAACACATTGAATGAAATTTGAATTTATAATAAACTTACCTATTTAAGGTCCAAGCTTTACAGCGTAAGTTTTCTTTTCACTGAGAACTTGTGTCATCTGTACTTTGAATTTGTAATAAACTTACAAGGCTGTTCAAGGTCCTAGCTTTTTGGGATAATATTGATTGATTGATTGTGTAATTTATGTTTTACTTCAATGATAAATGAAATGAATGCGCATGTTGGCAGCTGAAGTTGAAATAAGAGTGAAAATATAAATATGTATCACTTGTAGATGTTGTTACATGTATTAGGTACGAGTATTAGATGCGGTGTTATGTTTAATGTGGACTTTTCAATGCAACACATTTGCTGCAGCTATGTTGTTAGACTGACTTAATTTCCTTATTTTTATCAATTCATTTCTTGTAGGCTTGTCTTTGTATTGTAGCTAAAACTTGTTTCATGAAATATTTTTTCCCCCCAAGTTGGTCCCTGTTCATGTAGAATTTTTGTTCTCCAAGCAAATTGGATGAATGGTCTTTCCTTTTTTCTGATGAGTGGCATGAAAAGAAATTGCTGTAACTTTTCTGTTGAGTCACTATTTTATTGACACAATGGAGGGGTTTTTTCTGCCATTGCCAAGACTTTGGCCACAGTTCTAAGCATGTCCTGAATAACAGATTATGTACTAGCAAATCATTTCTTTTTCAACTATTGATGTATGAATTCATTTGTTATGATAAAAAAAATTGTCCGGTGATCATTCCCTAGTAGTGCCTTTTTATTTTCCTTTATTTCTTTAGAGATCTGGAGTATTTGTCTAATTATATGTAACTGACAGGTGGTTTATATTTAAACAGGATGAGAAGGAGATACAGAAGACAGCACTTAAGCAGCATCGCGTGTTGCGGTCAGCCACCGAGTTCAAATATGGCTACAAACTTGTTGTAATGTCCCTATAAATTATACATTACACTGCATAACATTCTATTGTCAAATCTTCCATCTTGCCATCACAAAGATTAAATTGCACAAGCAAGATGTCTCTGCCAGCTTATTTTCTAATTTTCGACGTGCTGAAAAATATGGCTATTTCTTTGGAAAAGGAAGAGGCTTTAAGCCTTGTATATGACATTTGTCCACAAATACAATTTGGGCATTTCATAGCCAATGCAGCAATATTGGAAGCCCTTGAGGGAGAGAGTTCTGTTCATATTGTGGACTTAGGTATGACACTTTGTTTACGACACGGCCACCAATGGCGGAGGTTGATGCACGGTCTAGTCAACCGGGCAGGCCAACCACCACGCCGTGTTCGCATAACTGGCGTTGGAAGTTGTGGTGAGCATCTCAGAGGCATCGGTGATGAGCTAGAGCGGTATGCACGTACCTTGGATTTGAACTTTGAATTTTTGGTAGTGGAAAGCAATCTGGAAAACCTGCAAGCCAAGGAGTTCGGTGTCCGTGGCAGTGAGGTTCTGGTTATCAACAGCATCCTTCAATTACACTGTGTGGTGAAAGAGAGCCGAGGAGCGTTGAATTCGGTGCTGCAAACGATGCATGAGCTAAACCCGAAGGCTCTTGTTCTGGTTGAGCAGGACTCGAGCCATAATGGACCATTCTTTCTTGGGAGGTTCATGGAGGCTCTCCACTATTACGCAGCAATCTTTGACTCATTAGATGCTATGCTGCCAAGGTACGTTGTTACAAATCTTGCAATTCACGATTTGATAGAAGTCGTAATTAGAATGATTCGATTAGTGCTGTTAAATTTTAAATTGAGTAAATGGTTATAATTCAATTGCAATTTAATTCTGTTAGTATAATATATAAAACGGTATTATTTCATAAAATAAAAAAGGAAATTAATTAATCATATGATTATACTAAATAAAGCAAGTGTTAACAAAATGATTCACGATTCAAAAACAATGCCAGGTATGACACGAGGCGAGTGAAGATGGAGCAGTTTTTTTTCGCGGAGGAGATTAAGAACATAGTGAGCTGTGAGGGGCCGGCCAGGGTGGAGAGGCACGACAGGTTGGACCAGTGGCGGAGGAGGATGAGCCGGGCGGGGTTTCAACCGTCACCCATCAAGATGCTATCGCAGGCGAAGCAATGGTTGGGAGAAATAAATTTTTGCGAGGGATACACGGTGGTGGAAGAGAAGGGTTGCCTGGTTCTTGGCTGGAAATCAAAGCCCATTGTTGCAGCTTCTTGTTGGAAATGCTTCTAAAGCTTTTGATTTGATGACTTGAAGAAGAGAAACAGAGTAGGATTCAGAGAAAATAAGGTTGTGTTTGGAATATAAATTTGAGTAGAAATTTATAAAAAAAAAAAAAAAAAATCACAAACAAACAAACTTGAAATAAGTTTGAACTATTGGCAAAGAGGGAGAATAACCATTGCATCATTACTTTTGGAGAGGAGTTGGCCAGGCTTAAAAAAGATCAAATATTAAGCATTTTAAAGAGAGAATTGTATTGAATTTTTAATTTGATTGGATTTTTAAAATTTTAAGATTATATTATTTTCGAAAAAGGTGAGAGTGGGATGAAGGTAGCTTACCATATTATTTTGAATTTTGAAATTCAAAATCATAGATAATTAGTGTCTTTATTTTTTTTTATTTGAATTGTTTTGATTAACATTATTTTTGATTAACTTATTATATTGTTTTCAATTTTTAAAATTCAAAATTGTAGATAATTAGAACTTTTTTGTTTTTAGATTTTTGACTTAAAGAACTAACCAATAGATTTTTGGGTAAACTACCAATAGTTGGACTTAATTCCCATCAAATCCTATTGAAAATATGTCTTAGTAAAATTGTCGCTAAAAATAATTTTTTTGTGACAATTTTTTTATATATATCACTAAAAATTGATAATTAGTGACTTTTTTGTCATAATTTTTATAAATTGTCGCTAAAACTTACAATTAGGGACTTTTTTATGACAAATTTTTTTTATAAGACTTATTAGACAATAAGTCAACTTATTAGAACTTACATGTAAGTACTCCTAGATTTTTTTATTTCTTTAAAAATTAAAAAATTAACAAAATTAGTTTAGGAGTTTGGAGTTTCAACAATCATTATTCTTAAAAAGGAGAAATTATTCAATAATCCTGAAACACCACGTGGTCACACTTCAAGCCAACCACCAATTATTTAGCCCTTGTCATTCCCCATCCCCAACATAAATCGTGAGCCCTTATCCCTCTCTACGAATCAAAATTTTATAGAGTACTATGTGTCCATACTCCGAAAATATTAAATAACTACTCCTTAAAAAGACCATTTTCCTTTTATAGATATATATAGATTTTACCAAGACTTCACTCACTTATTCCAATCATTTATCTTCAAACAACATGGATCGTACTTCCAAGAATAGTATTGTTACACATACTGGTTTTAGGATTGGTAGTCGTAGATCTTCAGACGGAAATCAAAAAGAATCTTTCAAGTCCACAGACCAAAGACCAATGAACACACACCCAAGAGGTAAACTTCATTCCATAATGTTCCACAAGTTATTTCCATATTCTTTTGTCTAGATCCTCTGTCTTGCTAAATCATATCCCTTCTATGGATTCTACTGTTGTGGATTCATTAGAGTTGGTTTATCAGGATTATGTTATTGTCTCTGGACCCTCTATGGACGTGTCATCGTCTTTGGTAAGTGCTTCCAAGCCAAGCCATTTGCCACGCAAGTTAGAGAATCCACAAGAAGAATCTGCAAATTTTAACACCACGCCCAGTGCCCCGATGCCAATCATTGGTGCGGTTGGCAGTAGATTGGGTCGTGTTGGAAGCTTGGACAGTCATAGTTCTACTCCTTCGGGAACTTCACATGGATCCATGGATATAGGAGATGCCTTAGAGCAGCCATCATTGCATTGCATGACTAGGATTAAGTCATTGCAGTGGGCTGCCTCTGCCATCACGGAATTAGTAAATAAAAAGGTAATTCCGATCAATTCCCACTTGTGCAATCAAACGGCTTTCATTGTAGTGTATGTGACTGACCAGAACAATCATACATAAATCTCTATTCCCCCACCCCAATTCTCAAACTCTCTCACAGTTATTTGTTAGGTATATCTTTTTAGTGGAGTTTGAAATCCAATTAATTTGTTAAAAGAATTTTAATTTAATTTGGTTTAGGTATAATATATTTTAATATATTGTATTTAATTTGTGAAGATCCAATCTAATTTGGTTACAGTTAGGATTTTGATAAAACAAACCCTAGAGTTAACAATATAAAAATATTGTTTATGTTCTTCCGTGTGATGTACACTACGGCAGCAGCAAAAAAGATCCTGATTCTTGGAAGTTTCACTTAGTTCAAGGTTTGATTGCTTTTGAAGCATTATTTGTATGCTTTCGGCTGGTGCTTGGAAGTTAATTTGGATTATTATTTTGGGTCTTTTTCAATTCTGATTCTGAAAATTCTTGTTAATTTATTTGGTGAGATCTTTTCTCTTGTTTATTTGGAATTCACCTAAGGGTGGCTTTGTAAGGTCATTCGTGTCTCGTTTGTAATCGTTTGGAAACTATTTGGTTGATAGTGGAATCGGATTTCGATCCCGTAGACGTACCTCACATTGAGGGAACCACGTAAAAATTCTTGTGTTGTTTTTTATTTAATTTTTCCACATTAATTTTTATTCCCATTGATTGATTTACTTGTGAGGAATCACATATTTTCCCTAACAACTGGTATCAAAGCTTACGGTTTATTTGGGTTTATTTATTTGTGTAAATCAATGGAGGGGAATATAGGTCGCATGTCTAGCTTCAATGGAAGTAATTGGGTAACTTGGAAAACTAAAATGAAGGACATATTATTTTGTAAAGATTTGTATGGACCCATTGAAGGTGATAGTGACAAACCTGATGATATGAAAGATGATGAATGGAATAGGCTTAATCGAAAAGCTGTTGGTGTTATCTATCAATGGATTGATGACAGTGTGTTTCATCATGTTGCTACTGAAATTTCGGCACATGATTTATGGAAAAAATTAGATAGTCTTTTTGATAGAAAATCAATCACAAATAAAGCCTTTCTGTTTTGTAAGTTGGTTAATTTAAAATATAAAGATGACAGCCCTATTCTGAAATATTTGAATGAAGTAAAGAGTATTGTTAACCAACTTGCCTCTATGAAAATTGTTTTTGATGATGAGTTACAGGCTTTGATGCTACTTAGTTCTTTGCCTGAAAGTTGGGAGACTTTGGTTGTGACAGTGAGTAATTCTGCACCTGATGGAGTTGTCGGGCCAAGTCACTAGTAGTCTGTTGAATGAAGAAACTAGAAGAAAATCAGCGGGTTCCTCTCATTCGGAAGCATTCGTTATGAGAGGCCGAAGCAAAACAAGAGGGAGGAGTAAGACTCCTCATGGTCGTGATCAAAGCCGTGACAAATCAAAAGATGGTTCTTTTTCAAAGAAAGACATTGAGTGCTATTATTGCCATGAGAAAGGGCACATGAAGTGAGAATGCCGAAAGCTCAAGAATAAGGAGAAAAGGCGTGACAAAAGTGTGGACAAGAAGCAAGAAGACACAACGGCAGTTACTATGATCTCATGGTTGTTTGTGAAGATGATTGTATCAATTTTGTGTGGGCCAGAGAGTAATTAGGTGATTGATTCCGGTGCTTCTTTTCATGTGACTTCTCGAGTTGATTTCTTCACTACCTACACCGAAGGAGATTATGGTTTTGTTCGAATGGGTAATGAAGGTTTGTCCAAGATTATTGGTATGGGTGATGTTTGCTTGTAAACAAATTTGGGCTGCAAGTTGTTGCTTAAAGATGTGAGGCATGTTCCCGACATTCGCCTCAATTTGGTCTCTACAGGAAAGTTAAATGATGAAGGAATATAGAAGCTCACAAAGGGTTCTTTTAGTGGTGGCTAAGTGTAAGAAGACTCGTACACTTTATTCGATGCAAGGAAAAATTTGTAAAGGTATTATCAATGCACTTGAAGATGATACTTCTACTGAATTCTGGCACAAACGGCTTGGCCATATGAGTGAAAAAGGGCTACAAGTTTTGTTCAAGAAAGAGCTTCTACCCGGTTTGAAAGGTACACATCATAAAACTTGTATTCATTGTTTGGCAGGTAAACAACATAGAGTTTCTTTTCATAAAAATGTTGCTTCTAGAAAAGAAAATGTGTTGGAGTTGATTCAATCGAATGTTTGTGGTTCTTTAAAAGTTAGAACACATAGTGGTGCATTTTATTTTGTTACTTTCATTGATGATTATTCAAGGAAAGTTTGGGCTTATCTACTAAAAACTAAAGATCAAGTTCTAGAAGTATTTAAGCATTTTCAGGCCATGGTTGAAAGAGAAACAGGGCAGAAATTGAAGTGCATCCGATCAGATAATGGTGGTGAATACATTGGGCCATTTGATGAGTATTGTCATAGCCAAGGCATTCGGCATCAAAAGACAGTTAAGAAGACTCCTCAATAAAATGGCGTTGCCGAAAGGATGAACCGCACCATTGTGGAAAGAACAAGGTGTTTGCTTTCACAAGCTAAATTGCCAAGATCCTTTTGGGGTGAGGCAATGAAGACAACGGTTGATGTGGTCAATTTGTCTCCTTACTATCCTTTGAATGGTGATGTTCCTGAAAGAGTTTGGACCAGTAAAGATGTATCTTATGAGCACTTGAGAGTGTTTGGTTGCCGAGCCATTGCTCACATTCCAAAAGATGAGAGGTCCAAGCTTGATAGCAAGTCAAGACAATGTATTTTTCTTGGCTATGGGCGTGATGAATTTGGTTATAGATTGTGGGATTCAGTCGACAAGAACGTTATTAGAAGCCGTGATGTTGTCTTTCTTGAAGACCAAACAATTGAAGACTTTGGCAAAGGTAATTAACCGGAGCCAAAAACTAGTGATCTCATTGACATGGATCCATCTCATTCATCTTCAGCTGATGATAAAAATGGGGGAGATGTGCAGCCACCTATTGAAGATATGGAGGATGATGCTAATCCTAATAAAGTTGAGCCAGAAATTGAGAAAGAGCATCCAACTCAAGAACCGCCATCACAACTTGAGTTGAGGAAATCTACAAGGGACTGACAACCTTCAAGAAAGTATCCTCCCAATGAGTTTGTGTCGATTTCTGATCAAGGGGATCCAGAGAGTTACCAAGAAGCAATTGAGCATGCAAAGAAAAGTGATCGGAAAAAGGCCATGGAAGAGGAGATGAATTCCTTACTTGAAAATCACACTTATGATTTAGCGAAGTTGCCTAAAGGGAGGAAAATTTTGAAAAATAAGTGGGTCTTCAAATTGAAGAATGATAGCAAGA